TGAGGAAGTAGAACTTCACGTCGATGTGTTTGCTCCGGTCGTGCAGAACCGGATTCTTCGCGAGGGAGATGGTGGGCTGGTTGTCCACCATTAGTGCTGGTGGGTGAGCTTCAACGCCGGTCAGCTCGCCCAGCAGCCGGCGTAGCCACACAACTTGGTACGCCGCTGTGGCCGTCGCTACGTACTCTGCCTCGTACGTAGATAGCGCCACCACCTTCTGTTTCAGCGACAGCCATGAAATTGGAGCCGACCCGAGGAAGACGAGCATGCCAGAGGTGCTCCATCGTCCGTCGATGTCCCCCGCCATGTCTGCATCGCAGAACACAGTGAGCTACAACCTACTCCCGCCGGTCTTGGGAAAGATGATCCTTTGATTCACCATCCCCTTGACGTAGTGCAGTAGCTGCTTCACTGCAGCCCAATGATCCTCTCTGGGATCCTCCATGAAGCGACTGATGTAGCCCACGGCGAACACAATGTCCGGCCTCGTGTGGACTAGGTAGCACAGACCGTCGACGATGCTCCGATAGAATGTTGCATCCACCTTCACCGTGGTGTTGGCCTTCGTCAGCTTCAACCGCTCCTCCATTGGAGTCACACATGGCTTGCACTCAGTCATGCCGCTCCTCTCCAACAGCTTGGAGGCATACACGCTCTGACCGAGCATAAGTTCCTCCTTCCCCTGTTTCACCTCGATGCTGAGGTAGTAGGAGAGTGCGCCGAGATCGCTCATTCGAAAACGAGCCGCCATCTCGCGCTTGAAGCTGCTAATGTCCTCCGTGCGCGCGCCGGTGACGATTTAAGTCATCCACATACACGCCGACGACAAGCTCCTCCTTTCCCCATCGCCGCGTGTAAAACGCGTGCTCGGTTACGCACTGCTGAAACCCAAGCTCGCCCAACGTGGCGTCAAGCTTGGCGTTCCATGCTCGTGGGGCCTACCGCAGCCCGTAGAGCGCCTTGCGCAATCGGAGCACCCTGTGCTCCTCTCCCTTGACGGCGAAACCTGGAGGTTGCCTGACGAAGATCGTCTCCGCCAGCTCGTCGTTGAGGAAGGTCGATTTAACGTCTAAGTGATGGACGCGTCAGTCCTTTACTGCTGCCAAGGCTAGTAGCAAACGGACCGACTCCATGTGCGCTACTGGCGCAAAGACTTCCTCGAAGTCTATGCCCTCACAATGAACAAAGCCTCGGGTGACGAGGCGTGCCTTGTGCTTGACGATGGCACCGAGCTCGTCCCGCTTGACTTTGTACACCCATTTTAGGTTGATCGGACGACATCCTAGAGGTGGATCAACGCCCACAGGATCACCGGTTCAGGTGAGTGAACCACTCACTAGTCTTGCCGAGCACCCGCTAGTGTTGTCGAGCACCCACTAGCTAAGCCGACCACGAACAAGCGTTGTCCGTCCTCACACACTACGGCTAGAGGTTGAAGAAGAGGGAGAACAGAGCATACACACAGTACAAGACACCAGCGTTGGCCGAAGCCATGTATGGAGATGGCAAATCTGAACTCTCTTTACTGAGTTCCCGTGGTAGTCTATTTATACAACTCTATCCATCTAGTCCTAATACAGCTACCATGCTTCAACAGTGACTAGATAACACAGCAGGGCTGACTCTGCGCCGGCCTCTGCATGTGGCTACAGTGCTGCAGGTGAGCCGTTCGGCGCCTGCACCTGCAGCGGCTACAGTATCACAGCAGGGAGCTTTTTCGACGCCGCTTTCCCCTTGTTGCGTGTTCACACAAGAAAACAGTAAATTATTCTAATAGATCTAACCATAAATTTAGTGAACAAATTTATGCTGCAAGAACTCATAGCCGGTGGCCCCTAAAAAAACTACTACAGCAAAAATCCTTAGATGCTTTCCCAATCCAAAAAAATGAATTGAAAGCGGAGATATATGAATCTAACTTATTTGGTATGATACTATATGACCTCAACTGCACATAATTCATTTGCTTAGAAGGTCATAATGCACACTGTAAAACACCTGATGGCATGCTCAAAAGTACCAAGTTACTGGTGATACAAAATGGTGAACATTTTTTTGTAAACAGAATATTGCATTAGCAGCCAAACAAAATATTGCGCTTGTTTTATGAAAATCCAAAATCTGAAATGTACAGTAACAAAAAATCAGGTATGGCTAGCATCTGTGAAAACAAAACACAGAGAACAATCTTCTTATATGAATCTGCCTCCAAAAGCTGGCCAGCCAGCGTGCCACGTCGCCCGTTAACACGATAGCCGTTGGATCGAGCGCTCATATGATGTGGTCCGTCCGATGCGAGTTGGTTCGGGTCTGCTACCCGCTTTGCCGCCGTCCCTGACCATCGCGATCCTTCCCGGGCTGCATGTGGCTCTGCCCTTCGCATCCATCTCCTTCCCCCGTCGCGGAGTGCCGGCACCGCGCGCGCGGCTTTCCCAGCCATCCCGGCATGGGTAGGGGGCCCAGCGGCCTTGGCGCAGGCGGGGTGCGGGCGCCGCGGCCCCGGCCATCCCGGCGCGGGCGGGGCCCCAGCGGCCCCTGCGACTCCGACGCGGCCGCCGGTGCGGGCGTGGCGGCTCCGGCCACCCCGCAGCCGGCTGCGGGCGCAGGCATGGCGGCGCCGCGGGCGCCGACCCCGAGCGCCGACTGCTCCCCTCGTCAGGTCAATTGACCGTCCAAAGTGCCCCCAGGTCCGCTTCCTCTTCCCTGCATCTGTTCTCCAACACCCGCTCCCAACTTGTTTCTGGATTCCCTGCATCGGTTGATGCTATAGGTATAAGATTGGTTAGGATTGCAAGATACAATCACTGATTCAGAGTACGTTCTCAGATTTTGAACTTATTTGATTCCATTCTCCTATCACTGATTCAGAGTACGCTATAGGAGTTGTCAGGCTAACTGATGTTCACATTAAAGTTAATTAATGAGGCCATATGTGTTGTGGCACTTCTGTCAAATGATGTCAATCTGGCACCTATTCTTCGGTACGAGTCATCCTCATGCAACAATACAATTCGATTGTGCTATTGACCCTGTTGGCATGCCTCCCTCCTCTGAATTGTTTTGCCTTAATGTACTTCTGAGATCTTCAGTGATGTGTACAAATGCGTCATTTGTGTTCTTACCCGTGCCCTGTACACAATCTTTCTTGGCTGTATCTAAGGGTTATTTGCTAGCAGTTCTATTCTACCCTATTTAATAAGAACTTAGATCTCTAAGGGTTATTTGCTGGCAGTCTTGTTCAACCCTAATTAATAAGAACTCTTATCTTTAATCATAATGAACTCTTAGAATTAGAGAATGATTCTGCCATTCAGGAAACCGGGCTCAACCTTCCAAGAAAATTTTCTATTTCAGATTCCTATATCCCTTTTGATTTACTAACTCTATGTAATCTTAAATTAACACTAATATCCCTTTTGATTTATGAACCCTATATAATTTTAAATTAACACTATTATCAACTTTATATATAAATTCAGGTTCATTATCTATTAAATGGGCATAAGTACTAGACAATCCACTGTTGTTGTATCCATATGGATAACCAAAGTGAGGAACTTCCTCATTTAGTAACTTATAAAACAAGAGATAAAGTTCAAGCATCCCTGTGAGACAACTTCCTTTATTCCAATTGAAAATTGCATAATTTTTGGTTTACAAAATCTAATGCCAAACTAACCCCCAAACATTCAACACATATCAGTGTACTTAGTGTGGGCTGGAATACCACCATCTTATGATCAAATATGCTCTTATAAAATTGAATAATTTCACGGATTTCACTGTAAAAAACATACCAAAAGAGTATACTTCGAAGTATCTATTCTGAACTTGAACATTTCAATCTCTTCCAATTTGGATTCGTACTGCACATTGTACTGATCACGTATTATGCAAATCAGGCTGTATAGCTCTCCAAATAGTTCTTTATAATAATATCCTAATTGTCATTTCCTCTGAGGGTGAGTTATAGGTGCCGGCAATTCTCACATTGCCATTTAACTTGCAAAGCTTGCTCAAATTCATTATGCTCACTTATCTACTCTATTGATTCCTCATTTGCAAACTAGACTACTGCCTGCTTCCTGCTATCAATTACGTGCTGACTCTACATATGATGGGAGCTGCTAGAGTCAAACATATTTTTTACTCGGGTCACGGCTGGCCAAAAATTGCAGAGGGATTAAGGCCGAGTTGTCGGAGTCAACTGACCCCGATGCTGTAACGTAGATTCGCCTCTGCTCGCCACATCACTTCTGCTGCCTGCAACGTATCTGACAAAATATCCATCACCTAATACAGTAAACCACACAGCTGTGTTTAAGTGATACTACACATCTTATAAATTGTCAGATCTCATCTTTGTATCTGCAAGAAAGTTAAACATGAACCACTCAATTTCTGAAATTCATACAGTTGTTTACTTTAGCAATGTTTTTGCTTATTGTAAGGAATAGGCTAGAGGATGTCATACTATGCCCCTATTCGCCAGAAGTTATTATTCCAAAAACCCCTTCTATTTTTCGAAAATCAACGTTTTAGTAAGAATTTTTTCATATAAACTTTTACCTATGCTTTTTAGGGGTAAATAAAATTATACCTTCATGATGATAAAGTCTCGAAAATACATAAAAATCATAAAATGAAAAAAAAATTGCTGAGTTTCTCATCACTACACCTATATTCTTATTGCCACTGGCCTAATCGAAAGGGAAGGCGCGGCAAAGCCGCGCCCGCGTTTCTAGTTAAATTCATAAACTGAACATATTATAGATAAAGTAGGGCAAGGAATTAAGCAGAAGAGAGATGTGCTACAGTCATGGCAAAAGAAAAAGAAGAGAGGGTACAGTAACCAAATAAGAAAGAAACCTCCAGATTTATGCAAAGAGGCTTCAGCTTTCTGAACATCCTATACTATCATAATCGCTTCAAAACCAATTCTCTTAGCAAAAGCAAACTGCATGCAGAGTAAATAACAAATCTAAATCAGGCAGGTTGCAATGACAGAGCCAATCAAGGGTATATCACATTACTGAATTGACTGTTTTCATGTATGCTTTAGCTCAGTTCTGAATATGATTAGTATAGCTTAGGATGCTGCAAGATTAAACATGTCATTGCTCATGCATCTCACGAACTGCATCTTGCAACAGAGAAAAATAAAAATTGCATCTAACTTTGTCTAAACCTAATGGATGTGTGATGGGAGAAAATTTGGTGTGCCCTGATTGTGGTTGTGCCACTCCGATGCAGATGGTGGCTTAGAAGTCGAAGGAGGCGGAAATCACCGAACTGGATTCGCTGCTTCTAGTAAGTCTCCTCATCTCCTAGCTCTTCTCCGATTCAATTCTAAATTTCATGTGGAGGTGAACAACAGCTGCAGCCTTATTCATCAAACTTTTTCAGGTTTTTATTTCATCAACAGGGTGCAGAAACTGCTCAGGTTATTTGCTAATATACAAGTTTTGTTGGCTAATACTTGATTGTATGGCAGGTTACTTTTGCGTGTGTGCGAGAGCGATGGTGCGGGTGTGCTTTGTGGAAGCAACCTCAAATATTTTTTTTACTCTAGTCTTGTGTAGTATTTCTTATGTCTTGCTTACCTGATCATTGCAAGGTGCTCTTCATTGTAAATTGACAGGAGATGCAGCAAATCAAAGGCTGTGAAGCAAGGGAAAGGAGAGGGGCAGGTGGGCTACTCACCATAGATTTTTGTTTTGTCGCTGCAAGGTAAAACCCATGGCTTAACACCTCTGTTTGGACTTGTTTTAGATGAGTTCTGGCCTGGGTAAAATGATGAGTTGCTGGTCTGGGTAAAATGAAAGGGATTATTTTGCTGGATTGGTTAACTTTGCTCCTGCCCTGAAGTCTGAAATTACAGATTTTGTTGTTATGAATCGGATGACAATTTTGTAAATCAAATGATTTTTCCTGCAAAAAGAGATAATACAGAAATTGTAGGTGATTTAAAGACCTCTTGCCTCGTGGAATTTCACGTTTTTAGCACATATAAGGTTTGGTAGATTTGTTTTTACAAATTGCCAGTCTTGTACTGTTGAGGTACTGTACAGTATAGATAAGATCGATTATTTGGGCTCTTACATTCTGAATATCGTGATACAATGTATTAGAAAATTGTAGTTAATTTGCTTATGCTTCCAAAGAGTTCTATACTCATATTTCATATTTTAGATTGAGTCAATTAGGAGGAGTTATAGACTTCTCAAAATGATTGTCTACACTTTGTCCGACTTCAAAAACAGTAATTTTGTACCTCAAGTTAGGCCCAGTGGATGGATGACATATACATTGCCATGACTAGAAATTGTGAGCTGGTTGTCTATCATATGAAGTCTGTTTTAATATGATCTTTATGTGTTTATTTATTGCACGTCTGGTTGTCTATCCATCCAGTTAACAACAATTGGATGATTGGATCTGCACCAATTGTTTACATTTATCAAGTGTATTGTGGACATACAGTTTGTTTGGTTAGTTGCCAAAGAGGAGATACATTCCAGTAGTCAATTTGTTTGTTTGTTTGGTTAATTTACCCAGCACCAGCTAAATAATCAATATTTCCCAGTAATCTTTGGGATTCAACGCTTAAAGTAGTTGATATAAATGTTTAGAAATAATGATACAGAAATTTATCTTTTAAAGAATGTTGCCAGGATTGTTATAGCTGGATTCATTTATGATGGCAAAAAAATTATGGGCGTTCACAATCTGACTGGTAGGGCGCCGCGAAGCGTGCAAAAGTTTCTAGTATGTTTAGAGCAGCATGTTAGGTTTGTGGTTTTTAAAAATGCAGATCATTAGCTACTCCCAACAATACGATTTATATGACATAAAAATGCATATCTAGGTGATTTGATTTTTTTTCTTTGTCGATATCATTACAGTATGATCCTTGAGTCACTTGTCCACTCTTCAAATGCTGCTAACAACCAGAAAAAGCTGGCTAAATCCTTTGGCGAATTAAAAATTGTGATTTCTGCAACTTTCCATTGGAATGCTGCAAATAAGGTATTGGTGCGCGCTCTCCTTCTAACGTGGAGGCCATCGATACAAGCCGTCGCCAAACTACGAATGCCCAAGTGCTGGAGGAGTCTGAGGATGATGCAAAGGCGCAATCTCCTGCTCCATTCCGGAATGCGGCATTTCGAGCCACGGCGCAATGCACCGACGCGGGTACTTCTGGTGTCATCCCTGATTCTCTATATCTAGGTGAGGACTTGCTGCCCGTCTTCGCCTTCTTTAACTGCTTCATATTTTGAGTTTTTATCCTGATTTGATTTGACTGTCCCAGCAGATTTGACGAAAGCCCTTGTGGACACCGACAAGAACCCCTACGATGCTTCGGGTATGGACGTTGCCCGGATTGGATTGGGTGCACCTCCGAGGCCTCCGCTCGTTGGCGAGACCCCTCGTCCATCTGGTTCGGGCATGGAACATGGCACAGGTTATAGTTTTTGGTTTTTCCTGAGTTTTTCATTTTCTGCGCCTTGTGCTTTGCTGACTACTTAATTGCTATTATAGTGGCCTCTGACAGCACAATAAGTGGGTGGGCGGACGCCCTTGAGGCTATTTATAAAGATATAGGAAATTGTCTTTTGTTTTTTCCCTGCTATTTGTTTTTAGTCTTATGTTTCTTATACCTGGTTTGTTGTTAGGCTGGCTTCGCCACTAGCTGAGGAACGTGGATTATTTCAAGTTGCTGCGCATGAACCTAGAGCAGCAGTGTGTGGTGTGTTTCTGTTTGTTTCCTACTTTTCCCTCCCTGTGTTTTTTATTGTACTTTTTGTTTTGGAAGCTATGATTGACCTTCGCTTTGACAAATTCACTATATGGCGGAGGCTCTTGAAGAGCATAGCATGCAAGAGGTTGTAGGCCGCAACCAGGCAATTGAGGCCCTAAAGAAGGAGATGGGTATTCTTGAGGTTGAGAAGACCCGGCTTGCGGGGGAGGTTGGTGGCCTCTGCACCGCCCAAGCTGAATTGGGGGAGCTTCAGAAGAAGGTTGACTTGCTGAACAAGGAGGTGGATGGCGCGAAGGCTGCTGAACACTTGGCTACTGAACGCACCTTGAAAGCTATTGAGACGGCCAACAACCTTCGCAAGCAGGTGGACGCCTAGAGGGAATCCAGCACTACCTTGAAGGTGCAAGTTGAACTTTTTACTAAGCGGCTAGAGGACGCCAATGCTATTGGGGTGGCCGTAGCTGAGCTTTATGTGGGTGCGCTCGAACGGTTCGGGGGATCTATGTCTTCGCTGCCCTCTGAGCCTTTGGCGTTAAATCTCTTCTCCTGGATGAAAGCCAACTTTGTGAAGCTTCCCGACTTCGTTGGTGGCGTTGTGGACTTTGGAGCTCTAGCCTCCACCACCAACGTTTCCAAGATGTTGTTGCAGAACGGCTGCCGTCATGTTGAAGGCATGTAGGAAAGGGATCTTGGGGGTCTGGGTGAGCTTGGAGTGACTTCCCGCGGCGTGCGAAGATCCGTCCGGCACTTTATGAAGTCGTTTTGGGTGAAATTTGGCCAGGCGAAGGCTCGCTCAATGGTAGAGGCACGCCGAGCTGAGATTGGGTTTTCCATGACTTATTGTTTTTTACTTAGGTTTTCTGTTGTTTGTTTGTTCACTTGTGTGCTTGTGCTATTTTGCAGGAGGCACAGAAAGTGGAGGCCGCGCGTGGTGCTGCCGGAGCGCAACCTTCGCGGGCAGCACAGGCAATGGCTATGAAGGCCCCCTCTCCTGCTGTTGAGGCGATGGCTCCAAGGGCTCCTTCCCCTGCAGTTGATGTCCCAAGGCCTAGGGAACCTACGCCTGCCCCTGCTGATTCGGAGGTGTAATATCTAGGTTTTAGCTAGTTTTTAGGTTTGTTCGAAGACGATGTGCTGCAAATGCCTGCCCTTTTGTATATACCTTAGGTCTAAATTGACAAATTGTCCTACGCAGGTTTCCTTGTCTAGGCCTATGCAGGACGTACCCCCTGTTACTATGTACCGTGATGGAATTTATGTTAATGGTGAACTGTGGCAATATTGGCGTGATGCTTTTCCTCGGCGTTCGGTTCTTGAAATGTTCAATTTTGTGAAGTGTGATATCGATGATGAGCGTGCGGCGTTCACTAGGTCACTAGCTTGGCGAGGGCCTCAACCTCTGGTTTAACATGTGGCCCTTTCGCCTATGTTCTGTAATTTATGTAACTCCGTTTGGACTTGTGTTTGTTGCCTTCGGTCTTGCTGTAATGCTGCTTGTGCCTAAATAACCTATGTTAGCAGTTTCCTTTGCTGTAAGGCGTTTGTAATTTTTAAATGAAGTTTGCTTGGGATGATTTAGTTGCACACTTATTTTATTGAAGATTTTGAATATGACTACAACTTAGGCTGAAGACTCTTAGCGAATTATTTTTACAATATTTCTTTAGCCTCGGCTTCTTTCTTCTATGGTTGGAGATGAGTACGAGTCTGCGCGTCGACGTGGAGAAGCTGAGGTGCTAGTCTTCGACCTTGTGAGGCTTGCGGAGGATCCGTTGCTTATATCTTTGCTTTTTCCTCCGCTGCTCTTTTCTCTGGCTCCCGTTGGGGATGAGCTTGCACATCGCAGTGGAGGAACTGAGGCACTCTCGAAGGCAGTAGTAGTTTATTGATTGCCCTGGCCTCCATCTCTATGCTTGCTTGCAGTCGATGGTGATGCTCTGGCACATCTGCGCGATGGAGCTGAGGCGCTCGTGTTCGATCTTGCAGATGCTGCGAAGGCTTTGGCGCCATTTGAGCACTCATCGGAGGTGGCAGCCTTTGATTTTGTTGGTTCTCAAGAAGCCACAGAACAATTTGAGCAAGTAACGGAGGTTGAGGAAGCATGTCGGGTTCATAAACCTGGGGTCCCTCGAGGACCGGCTTCCACGCCAGGGCTCGGCCCAAGAAAATAGCATGTAGTTCATGGGCCGGCCCAAGAGTCTAAAACACAATGGGCCAGAAGGACAGTCTGGTCGCCGACCGGAAGGTCTACCCAAAAGAACGAGCGCCCGTTCGTCAACTTCTTCGGCCCACCTCTCCGACCGGAGCACTCGCCGCCTCTGGGCGGTCTCTCCGATCGGAAGGCCTGGCCCAAAACGCCGCTTCCTACTCCGACCCCACGTCTCCGACCGAGGACCCATAGGAAGCCTGCTCGCCGCTCTTCTCCGACTGGCACGCCCAGGGCTGACTGGGGCCATCCGACCGGGGACACCTGCTCAGAAAGGACCAGGGGCGAACAGAGAAGGCAGCGCACAAGTCAAACCACGGTACGGGGACCATACCCTGTACACCTGCAGGAACAGTGCTCCACAACCGTCCTGACACAAACAGTGTTGTAGGCGCCGACATTTGCCCCTACAGTATTGTAGGCGTCGAGATTCACCATGCCCGGTAAACATGGTGAGACTCCTCACATGCCTCTAGGCATCCAGCAGTATTTTTGTAGGTACCGACGTCAACCCTTCCTGAAGAAGACAACGTAACCTCCCACGTGCACCTAACATTCTACAGTGACATCAACAGTGTTGTGGGCGTCTACCATTATCCAATCCTCATCGCGCGTGGGCAGCAAGGCTTAAAAGCATCCGTACCCTCTCCCTCTCACTTGTAAAGCCATCCCCTTCATCTATAAAAGGGGATGCACTCCCTCCAATTGGAGGATCGATTCATTGAAGCTCAGTTCCTTTAGATTCATTAGTCCAATAGCTCACAACCACAGAACCGCCAGGTTCGGACCTCAAGCACACGCTTGAACACTTAGCTCATAGCGGAGCTCCGGTCGCTCTCGGCCCTTCCGGTCGGACCCAACCGGGCCTCTCGTACACCCCATCTTTCTCCTTCTCGTTTGTAACCCCACTACAGACTTAGAGCACTTGGGCTCAGGAATAAAGTCACCGACCGACCCAAACTAGACATAGGGCATGTTGCCTAAACCAGTATAAATCCTGTGTCATTGAGTGCTAGGCCACCTCCGATCACAATGTACAGCAAAACTACAAATATTCACTAGTTGGTCACTTTCTGTAATGACAGTTGGCGCCGTCCGTGGGGAAGGCGTTGCACGTTCAACGCTTTTTGGTCATCGGATGGCCCATTTTTCCGCCACCCCCACCGTGGCGGGCTCGGGCGATACGATTCGCTTCGGCTCGCTAGAGTATCCCGCACTCTCGCCTGCGGGGATGCGGGTTCCACCCGTTTTTGAGCCATCCCAGGCCTTCCTCTTCAGAAGCCTAGACTTCGTCGCCGACTGGCTCGGCGTACTCCACCTCCGTGAGGAGACTCGTGATCTAGCACCCGTCGGAGAGACGTCCTCCATCGACTCCGGGACGCGCGACCTCGACGGCGCGGCATCTGCGCTCCATTCCGAGCAAACTCTCTGCTCAAACCCCGCTGTGAGTAATATACACGTCGTTCTTTACTTACTACATTCTATCTACCGCCAAATACTCGGAGGGCTACCGTTGTCCTCGTCGTGGCCACCGGACAATCGGTTCCCCTACGGCCTCGTGTCTCCCGTGGACGCGTACGCCCGGGGGCTCCAAAAGATTATGGCGCCGCCTCCACTCACGTCTGAGTTCGTGGGGATGGCGAGTTACGCTCCCACCTGTTTCCTCGACATCATGGATGATGACGTCTGGAGTGACGGCTCCAGCATCGGCGACGTGGCACCCAGCCACCGTCTGTCCCCGGAGTGCGCTATGACGGACGCTCCGGAACAGCCACTAGGGGCAACGGAGTCCTCATGGACTCATGCCCCTCCGAGCCCTCATACGGAGGCCCCCGAGCTCACACGTGAGCATGGGGAGGATCCACGACAACAGTGGCAGCATCAGCCACCGACCACACCAGCGCGCTCAGCGCACCACACTGCGCCCTATGCGCATAGACTGACGAACGGCGCTCGTGGTCACGCTCGTCAGGTCCAGCGCAACACCCCAGTTAGGGGGGCCAATCCCCCGCAGTTCGCTCGGGCCAGTCAGAACATTGCCGCTGTGGCAATGCTCCTACACGGCCTGTCCGAGCCGAATGACCCTCGTGAACAGGTGATCCACCGGAACCTCCGGGCACTGGTGGAGACCGTCGCTGTTCAGCAAGCGGAGTGCTCCGTATCGCGACACCGACTCGCGACCTCGCTCCCCGTCCGGGGAACAGGGACACAACAGATGGGGCACTACACCCTATCACCGCAACAACCTCTGAGCATGGCACACGAGGTCGCAACGGCACCTCACCTCAACCTGTCGACCGCTCCGCACCAACCACCTATCTATGCGCGGTTCAGACCAAACCAAGGCACATGCAGCGGCGACCGGAGTCCCAGCACTGACGGCCCGGGACCACCAACCTTTGCCCAACACCCCTAGCAAGCGCCGTTCTCACCGCGCTTTGGCGGAGGCCACAGCAAAGGTAAGGCCAAGTGCCAGGATCAAGATGAGGGTCCCTCCATGCAGAAGGGAAAAAAGAACAGGAAGGATCGTCGTCTACCGGCCAACTCCGCGCTGGTCGCCGCGGCGGATTACGGGGGCACTCAGCCCCAGCAAGACCCTCCAAGCCACTTTCACGAGCTCATGGAGAGCCCGTGCACCAACCACAACTATCCCATCAACCATCTCTATAAGGACTGCCAGCTCCTCAAGCGCCTGTTGAGGTAGACTGGCAGGCCAAGGAAAGAAAAAGGCGAAGAGGCAGCAAACAAAGAAAGGGGCGTAGCGGGCAAGGATCCAGACGATTGAAGGATGAAGTAATCCGACCAGACGCCTACCGACTGAAGGACAACAACGATGACGCTCTCTTCGAGCACCCTAGAACAGCTATGTCATTTTTTCTTTCCCTAAAGTTTCGGTCTTACCATTATTTACTAAACGTACGCTCCCGTAAGAGCACCCCAACCCAAACACTTTTCGGCTCGGGGCGCTCGGGGGCTCCACTAGGGGGCTCTACTACCCCTATGTTTTGTTTTTACCTTGAGTACTCTTTTACTTTCAGATGGAGAAAACTCTTTCCTACCCGAATGGAAGGGCAGTTCGTTCTTTTGATTTGCCTTACGTAGCTTTGCTTTAAAACATTCCGACTGATCGCACCCCGCCTTTTCCTACGGTTACGAGCGGCCAAGCCTCACGGGCCACGCCCGGGCTCACAAGGTTGCAGCCTACGGGACAAATAGGCAGGTACGAGAAAGAAAGAAATAAAAAACAAAATTATGCTAATGGAAAACTAAGGAACGAAAGGGAACAAGCTTCCCCGAACAGAGCAACTCCATCACAAAAACAAACACCGATTGTAGTCATTAAAACACACACGAACGTTTTACATAGGGGCTCCCCCACGAACTTAGACTTTTTACGTTTACTAACTACTTATATTCTGCAAGCTATTAAACCGGCCTGGCGGCATCTGCTGGCGGCGCGACCGACGAAGGCGCAGGCTGCTCACTCCCCGGTGGCACGACATTCGGCTCGATCGAAGCCAAGGCGACATCCCCCCCCCAAACCAGGCTCTGGGCTATCCGCAGGCTCGGAAGCGTCCTCTCCACGCATGCTTCGGGCCATGTCTTCACGGTGAACTTCCATCACCCACTCGGCGGAGACTTGCTCGGACACCAACCGCGTGTGCGGCAGCAAGCTCTCCCCGATTGATTGAATGTCCTCCATGCTCAGACCTTCAGCATACCCGCTGCAGATAGCGTCGAAGTCCAGGTTTGGTGGTGCATCGCCACCGAGGTCAGCACCCCTGATGCTCCATTCAACAGCCCACTCCTGACAAGGTCCCGGACCGCATCCGGAACCTCTGCCAGCTGGACCATGGGCACACTGGTACTTGGAGCCGACCCA